ATTGCTTAGACCTAATTTAAGATTTTTAAGCCTTTTAACAAAAAATGAACATAGGATGAAACCATCAAAATGACTTTCCAGACCACTTTGCATCACTTCGTCATATCCTTGGCATTGTACCCAGTAATTAAAGAACCTGAAACGCTTCGCGATCTAAATTTGTGCAGGCCACAAGTGAACAATAGCCAGGGGGTGCATCACTTAGAGGATGTACTTTTATATTCTATTAAAAGCATGAGAAATTTATACAATCAATTGTGGAATATATATATATATAATATAATATATATATATATATATTATATACTATATATATATATATATATATATATATATATATATATATATATGCAGTTAAAACAGGTAGATATATACAAAACATGCACAGCACAGACAAGCCTGTGCATGTTTTGTAAAACCTGCAGCTTCACAGGAGTTCAACTTCCGTGAATTTGTCGTCTAAATTTCCCAAAGAGCGAACTCCCGCTGGATTTTTTTAATACTCTAACAGACTTCACGGGATGTCAACTTCCCGTGAAGTCTGTTGTGTGCAGCTAAATCTTCACGGGGAGTTCAACTCCCGCCTGAAGATTTTTGAAGAAATTAATCTTCACGCGGAGTTCAACTCCCGGAAGGAGTTTCGTAAATTTTTTTCAGGAAACTGACCTGGTCTTCAACGACAGGGGCTGAAAACCAGGTCGTAGTGCGGTTGAAAGGGCGTCGATTTTTTGTAAATAAAAGGTCCAAATAGGGACTTTTTCAAAAATTTTGTCCACCAATACTGCTTTGAATATAATGGCCTAATGATTCAAAGAAATTATTCGGTAAGATTCAATGGAACTATAAAATAAATTACCAAACAAAATGGCCTTTGGTCCAAGCCATTACTAAAAGCGACAGTCTGTTTTCTCGATTTAAATTATTCTGAAAAAGCAGCTAAAACGCCTCCACTTCATTCAATCTATTAAGAAACTACTTGTAGGCGACGTCATTTATTAAATCAATAATATTACGTTCTCAATCTACACTCGCCCACCCTCACTCAGCCACTCTTCCTTTGAGATCGTATTGAAACTAATTTTAAAAATAGCTAAGTCAAAATTAGTAAAAGCCTTCAGTATTTTTCTTTAAATAAAAAAGTTGAACTTGACTAGTTCTTGGAGGTTATGAATTGCGAAAAGGACTAGGACAATGTGATATACCTTCAACAACATGGCTTTTGCATTGTTTTGGGAATTTTTTTTTTAGAAATTCGTCTATTGAAGGAGTTTTTTATTTTATTTTTTATTACCCCCCCTCCGCCCCCCTCCTCCGCGAGTTGCAAGATTTTTCATTCTGATTTATATTAATTCCTATAATATTAATTTTAAGGGAAAAATGCTTCCAGTCCCCAAATTCGTAACAAGTATGCTTCCTCCTCCCAAGACTTTTTCAACGTTCTAAAAACCCCCCAAATTCGTAATAACTGTGTTCTGAGCCCCTAAAACACAAAGCCCAAGAATTTTACACAGGTAAAGACTATAATACACATTCTCTCTCTAATATTATATTCGTAATAACCATACAATCCCTCCTCTCTCCCTCCTCCTTCCCCCACCATTTTTGCCCTAGCCCCCTCCGTCCCTTCTGCAACCCTCGTGGCGGCCGAAGCTCCTCTCCGGTCTCACGCCTCGACCCCTCGCCTCTGCTCGCCGAGATCCTCCATGTCCACCGCTGATCCCAGCGCGGCGTCCGCTCGACCCCTCGCTCGACCCCTCGGCCTTCGCTCGCTGAGAATATTTCATGAAGCTCAGGACCTCAACTTTAACCTGTCCCTGCAGCCTGAGCCTCGTCCCGAGGACGCATGAGTTTTCTCATGTAACTATTGCAGACGGATTTTTTACAGCACCCAAGCTCTTGGAGGACACCAGAATGCACACAAGCTGGAGCGCAACCTAGCGAAGAGGAGCAGAGAGATGGCTAATGATTGAATTGATCTCGTAATGACACGTGCGAACTTGATGTTGCTTTGTAGCTTCTGAAACTAATGCATCTAGATTTACTAGCAACAGAGTTTCTTCCTGTCACATGTTTTCTTTTTGGGATCTTTTTCTTTTTTTATTTTCCCCCTTCAAAATAAGTTTTCCTGTTCGTAAAAGAATGCCTCTTCTCTCTTGCATCAACGATATTTTCTTTCTTCACGTTTAATATACATGTAGCCAATGATAGTTATCTTTTCTGTTTGCAGATAATGTTACGGTTGTTAAGGTTAAGGGTTGTTAAGATTACGGGTTGCTTGTTAAGGTTACGTGTTGCTTGTTAAGGTTACGGTTTGCTTGTTAAGGTTACGCATTGATTGTGAAGATTAAGCTTAACAACCAACCCGTAACTTTAACAACCGACCCGTAACCTTAACAATCAACGCGTAACATTCACAACCAACGTGTAACCTTAACAAGCAAACCCGTAACATTCACAAGCAACTCGTAAAACCTTCATAAAAATAAAAAAAAGGAAGGAAATAGAAAAAAAAAAGCTTTAATTTTTTGTACTTCTACTATAATAATTCATAACTTCATAAAAATAAAAAGCAGTAACAATTCTACACTTTCCTTCAGAAAAGTCATGCTTACAGCACCACATAAAACTGTGCAATGTATGATTACTTTCATTTTACCACTCAACACTCACTGAGGAGGTGGACTGCCATGGTTTTGAGACCGTTGACAGGGTAGAGGAAGAAGACGATGATGCATACATTTGTTTTAGGTAGTGGGAGTGAGCTAGATTTTGTAATAATATTTCACTTTTAATTTTAATGAAATTTTCAAAAGCCAAACGATTTATGTGTTGGTTGTTAAAGTTATAGATTGCTTGTTAAGGTTACACGTTGGTTGTTAAGGTTACGTGTTGGTTGTTAAAGTTATACGCGTTGGTTGTTAAGGTTTCGGGTTGCTTGTTAAGGTTACGCGGTGGTTGTTAAGGTTACGAATTTTCAAAAGCCAAACGATTTACGTGTTGGTTGTTAAGGTTACAGGTTGCTTGTTAAGGTTATACGTTGGTTGTTAAGGTCATGTGTTGGTTGTTAAAGTTATACGCGTTGGTTGTTAAGGTTTTGGTTTGCTTGTTAAGGTTACACGTTGGTTATTAAGGTTACGGATTACTTGTTAAGGTTACGGTTAATCTTAACAACCAACGCGTAACTTTAACAAGCAGCCCGTAACCTTAACAAGCAACCCGAAACCTTAACAACCAACGCATATAACCTTAACAAGCAACGCGTATAACCTTAACAACCAATACATTAACAAGCAACGCGTATAACCTTAACAACCACGGTAAATTTTCCTGCAGAAAAAGATGAATGAAGTATTTAACACACACGCAAAAGTTGTATGAAAAGACATAAAGTACAATAATTTCCAAGAACGACAACACTGTAGATGGTGGGGGATGATGGACCTGAGGGATGGAGAGGGGGGTTTGATGTGGCGTCTGGGGGAGGAGGGATGGTGGGGGATGATGGACCTGAGGGATGGAGAGGGGGGTTTGATGTGGCGTCTGGGGGAGGAGGGATTAGGTTGGGAACAGAGGCGAGGGGTTGAGCAGAGGCCGCGCTGGGATCGGCGGTGGACACGGAGGATCTCGGCGAGCGGAGGCGAGGGGTCGAGGCGTGAGACCGGAGAGGAGCTTCGGCCGCCACGAGGGTTGCAGAAGGGACGGAGGAGGCTAGGGCAAAAATGGTGGGGGAAGGAGGGGGGAGAGAGGGGGGGGGGTATGGTTATTACGAATATAATATTAGAGAGAGAGAATGGGTATTATAGTCTTTACCTGTGTAAAATTCTTGGACTTTATGTTTTGGGGGCTCAGAGCATAGTTATTACGAATTTGGGGGTTTTTAGAGCGTTGAAAAAGTCTTGGGAGGAGGAAACATACTTGTTACGAATTTGGGGGCTGGAAGCATTTCTCCCTTTTTTCTATTTTCTATAATATGTGTTCCACCAACAAAGTTCCAAACCTTCGGGCTTTTCTCCCAGAAAATCAAACTGAGATTAGTAGACACGTTAAAATTTGGTGTGTGATACAACAATTATTCATTTTGCAAATTTCCATTGACTAGTTTAGGTTTAAACCAGGAAATTAAGGAACCCCCAAGGCAAGCAAACTCATAACTCCCACCAACTCCGACCCCACTTCCTTCTTCCCTCCACGAACACAAACGCGCACACTCCCTCCCTCCCTCTCCCTCTGTCTCGCTCTCGCGCCACCAAAATCAATCTGAGGAACCGCCATGAACACTCGCCGTCAAGGTCCTCGACGCCCACGATCTAATGCCAAGGACGGCACGGCTCCTCCAACCCCTTCGTCGCAGGTCGACTTCGACGGCCAACTCCACCGCGACCCAAACCAAGTTTAGAGACCTCAACCTCCAGTGGAACCAAACCCCTCGTCTTTCAGCCTCTCCTCCCCAGGCCCTGATCCAGAACATCGCCGACCAATTCGTTCGCACGTCTCCCTCTTCCACGCAGCCCATTCCCTCTCCTAAACCCTCCTCCGCGCAGCTCGCGCCGCCTTCCTCGGCGCGCGTCCGGCCGTCTCGGCGTCTCCGTCGCCGCCTTCGGCAGACCGTCGAAGGCCCAAGTCACCCGCTTCCCCCTCCGAAGAAGCGCGGGATGTTCTCCAAACATCGGCGGGCGACATCGCCGCCTCTCTTCTACCTGATCAACACCGCCCGTCGTCGCGTCTCCCTCTCCGTTCTCCAAACTCCGGGTGCCGGGTGGCTACCTACCCTCGCCCGTAATCCGCGCGCCGACGAGAAAAGAGGAATGAGCCCATTCAACAAAGAGCGGCCAGGAGGAGGGGGGGAAGAAGGAGAGTAAGAAAGGGGAGCCGCCGAGAGTGATTTCCACTCCGTCCCACCAGGAGCAGCAACGACCCCCTCGCCCCGCCGCCCGAACCCAACGACGACCGAATTCCGCGCCGCTCCCGCGGCGGGCGACCTGCGCCTCCGCCGGGCGGTGATGAATGCAGAGGCAGGGGATGAACCGCCGCAGAGCGAGTACGGGCTGATCGAGACGAGCACCGCCGATGCGCCGGTCGAATCCGGGCACCGGTCGGGCGACAAGATTTCGTCGACTACGACCTCGTCGAACAAATGCACTACCTTTACGTCAACGTCGTGAAGGCCCGGGATCTTCCCGCCATGGACATCACCGGCAGCCTCGACCCCTACGCCGAGGTCAAGCTCGGCAACTACAAGGGCACGACCCGGCATCTCGAGAAAAACCAGAACCCTGTTTGGCGCCAAATCTTCGCCTTCTCCCGAGAAAAGCTTCAGGCCAATTTCGTGGAGGTCACCGTCAAAGACAAGGATTTGGTTAAAGATGATTTCGTCGGGAAAGTTGTGATGAACATTTCGGACTTGCCTCTTCGGGTCCCGCCCGATGGCCCGCTAGCTCCGCAGTGGTACAAGCTCGAAGACAGGAAAGGGGATAAGCTAACCCACGGCGAGATCATGCTCGCTGTTTGGATCGGGACTCAGGCCGACGAGGCGTTCCCTGAGGCTTGGCATTCCGACGCTCACTCGATTGGATTGCAGGGACTGAACCAGACTCGATCCAAGGTCTACTTCTCCCCGAAGCTCTGTTACTTGCGTGTCACCGTCATCGAAGCTCAGGACCTCGTTCCGTCGGAGAGGAATCGGATCCCCGAACCGGTTGTTAAGATCCAGTTAGGGAACCAGATCCAGGCGACCGGAGTTTCTAGATCCGTTAACCCGGTTTGGAACCATGACTTTTTGTTTGTCGCGGCTGAGCCTTACGATGAGCCGTTGATAATATCGGTCGAGGATCGGGTTGGGCCGAATAAGGCCGAATTACTGGGCAGGCTGCTTTTTCCGGTGATGGCCGCTTTTAAGAGGACTGACATTAACAAGGCTGTCGAAGGCCGGTGGCTGAATTTGGTTGAGCCGAGATTGGCCGAAGAAGGGGACTTCAAGAAGAAAGAGTCCAGGTTTTCAAGCAAAATTCACTTGAGAATCTCTCTTGAAACGGGGTACCATGTCCTCGACGAATCGACGCATTATAGCTCCGACCTTCAACCGTCCAACAAGCTACTAAGAAAGCCTAGTATCGGATTCCTTGAGCTCGGAATTCTCAGCGCCCGCAATCTCATGCCGATGAAGGCGAAGGAAGGGCGAACAACCGACGCATACTGTGTCGCAAAGTACGGGTCCAAATGGGTTCGGACACGTACGTTGCTCGACACCTTGAACCCGAGATGGAACGAGCAATACACTTGGCAGGTGTTTGATCCTTGTACTGTGATCACAATCGGAGTCTTCGACAACTGCCATGTCATGGGAAATAACGGTAATGCTCGGGATCAGAGGATCGGAAAAGTCCGAATTCGACTATCTACACTCGAAACCGATCGAGTCTACACACATCTCCACCCGCTGCTCGTCCTCCAACCCTCCGGTCTTAAAAAGACCGGCGAGCTTCACCTAGCGGTCCGATTCACCTGCACAGCTTTTGTCAACATGGTGACCCTCTACACCAAACCGTTACTCCCCAAAATGCACTACGTTCAACCAATCTCAGTCATTCAACTCGACAGACTCCGTCACCAAGCGATGCAAATTGTCG